CATGTCTCAAAAACCTAAGACACGCCTTATCCGAGGTAAGGTGAAGGAAAACCGACGGACATAGAATCAGTATAAAAACAAACTCCTCTCACTACACTGAAAAAGAAAACGCGAGTTCACACAGACTCTTCCTAGACACGTACATTGATAAAAATTCCTAGTTTAAGATAGCTTAGATTTCACTCTTGTTTGTAAATAATAATTGATTGTTACAAAAATCCAACCCCATTCTCAGTCAATCATCCCTTATCTGCGTAAAAGTTCGTAAGGGAATCACGCTGGTTTAATACGTCGCGAACCGCGTGAACAGTAATTTTTGACGATTTGTCGTAATATTGAATATTAAACTGTTAATTACTGTCAATATTTAGCAATTAATAACATAGAAACTGTGTATTTATATTTTCGTGTTTTGCGACGTAGAAGGGAATTCTGTTTCGTGGCTTTATCCGTCTATTGATTGTATTTCTCGACGTCATGTTCGAATTGTATCACGAAGCTCCGAACGACGTTTGTCCTTTTCTTGGTACATTACACCCGAATCCCTGGGAAAACGTGACAAGTCCGATATTAGACGACAAATATGAGAAATAGATATCCTGTTTTATCCTAGGAGTATATCTGTCACGATTCCAACGGAATCTATGTAAGGGAATTGAAGTTTCAGAATTGGGGAAAAACCATGGGTGGTAGTAGTAGCTCGGGTCTTCGCGAAGAAAATTTCAGGTTTATTGTATTAGAGAGTCCTACGGTATTCCAAGCTCGAAGATAAGAATTTTCGAACAACGTCCGACGGTATCGCGTTATTTATTTAAATCGAAGAATCCGTCTGAAACGGGAATTTTTCGTCGAATTGGTAATCAAACTTTGAACACGTCTCGCGTATAAGACCCAACACCGCGCAAAATTGAACTAACTCTTGGGGTCTAAGTTCGAGGTCGGTTAAAATTAGGGAAACTGCTCCATCTGCAGAATATTACTTTGCGTGTAACACATAGAACCCGGCCGGATCAGAATACGAGCCAGTCTTCTCTCTTCGTGTAGTACTTGACTCGAATGAAATCGTCACTTTACATCAAGGATAACCGAAACGTACGTTCGGATAGCAATTAAACTTTCTTGGTTAATTAAAATCTATCGTTGGAGAAGTTTGCGTGTAAAAACCACGTAACAGTCCTCTTGCTATAAATACGAAGGAAGTATAAGTAACAACACGAGCTGCAAATAAATTTCACTCCTTAGTTTTAGATTTGTAATTACCCATTAAGGTTAAGTATTGAATTAACGACGCTATACCGAGCTTGTTAGGTGAAACAGATTATATTTGCGATAAATTCCGATTCTGACTGGAGTTTTACCTCGCGATATTGTGGGTAAATTATGCGAATACTTTAAATCGTAATTTTTCATTTTCCTAATTTAATATAGAAATTTGACAAGGGTTACTAGGTCCGACACAGAATGATTTGCACCGTGTGCCATCGTCGACGATGATTCGACACAGATTAATTTGCATAGTGGACCATTGCCGACGATGATTCGACACAGATTAATTTGCATCGTGGACCATCGTCGACGGTGTATCGACAGTGAACCGCGAAAATAATTTTTTAGCGACGGTAAACTTGTTAAATGTTACTTATCATTTGTTACATTTTTAAAATTTTACGCACGGTGGAGTTGAAATATCGTTGAAATTCGAAAACGAGAGAAATTCGCTCTCGTCGAAGGAAGCGCAATTACAGCAAGGAAGATGCAAGTTTTTCTGGCGAGGAGAGACGGTTGAAAGTAAGTAGCTCGCGTTTCCGCGGCCGTCGACGCCAAGGAAACCAGTCGTCAGAGGCAGCGAGTGGAAACATTTAAACGGGCCACATCTCGACAATAGATATGGCGGACGAGCAACATGGCTTACCGTGGGATTATAACAACGGGGTCTTGATCCGGGCGAACCAACTAGCATTAATACAATTAGCAGAGCTTCCCTAAGTACCGTAACGCAGCTCACGGTCGGCCTGCCCCTTGGACTTGGCCCAAATATTCGCGATTCCGGGGCCAAACCGCCGCGAACCGACCTGTCGACGTATTCTATTACCGAATCTCTGTTCCGATATGCCACGCCGCTGTCCCTCGAATATTTCATGACGTTCGTCAGAAACGGTGAAGAATGGAGAAACGTGGAAAGGACGGGAGATTGTGAGGGAAGAGAAGGATCTGTGTGTCAGAGGGGATGAAAGAAACAATGGAGAGAATTTTAGAGTAGGCAAGTTTTATTTCGCGAATTTAGTCAATGGAATTTTTTCGAATTTTTCAAGTGTTTCAATATTTCTATTCTTTTGGGCATTTTTTCCAAGACTTGTCGTTGGACTGGAAGAATTTTCCTTACATCTATGCTTACGCCTTAATTAGTGTAGAAGCGTTGTTAAAAACGCTACGTATTTTAATTTTGGTGTTTTTTTTTCTCATTTTTGAAGTGTCCCGATAGTTCTATTTTTCGAAATTTTTTCCAA